TCTTGAAAAATCAACCTCAACCCTACCTATAGGCTACCGCCTATATAATACTCTATATTTGTTTGATGATTATATCATTAATTATGGCCACAGTAAGTACTTTCTTTACTCAATATAAATGAATGCTTGGCAATGCATCCTTTGTTGTGTGAATGCATGTTCTCACTAACAATACAAAAATAATTGTCTGCACATTGGAATTTATTCATGTGGTCTATTAATGTGTATTGGCACAATGCAGGTCTCGTAAAAGAAACTTAATTCAGAATGGCATGAGTCAGCAAATTGAACGGTGTATGTCTAAATTACATGTACAGTGTATGGACATATACTTGTATGAGTCAATCATAGCTTAATATGCATTGTGGAGCTATACATGCCTTTTATGTATATTAATTGTTGATAAATGCATGTATGCTACTGTCAATTTGTTAGTACATGTTGTATAATTTCACATTCATAATTTACACAGGTACATATTTTACACAAGGACTTCAATGTGGTGAGAATAAAGCCAGACTTGGAAAGAGATTTAAAAGGTGAAGTGTTATTCCTCTTTGTGAGCAGATGTATCTTTATAGTGGTTTGTAATGTATGTTTGTGACAAACATAAGTTACATCATGCATATACATGTACAAAGCCTGTGTGTTTACATTGCTTCCTGTTGATGTTTATTTCTTACTTTGCTTTAAGGCATTTTTAACTGCAAATGATTTAATGATTCTGCAATAAGGTGTAATACAATACTTTCATAGCATGGTAAATGTCTAAGGCTATTGTCTGATTTCGTTTGTGGTAACTTAATTAATTTCTTTTAAATAAACATTGTGGTAACATAATGTTTTTTTGTAACTTTTTGATCAGTAGTGCTTTCACACTGGATGAGACGCCAGTTTCCAGCTGCACAGGTTTCATATTGTTATAGTTTTAGCAATTGAATACATAGTAAGATATAATATTGTGAGTTTTTTATAATTGTATTACAGATCATGATCCAAGGCTTTAAATCTTTTTGATGATTAATATTGATTATTTGATTAACTATGGCCACAGTATGTATTTTCTTTAATTTTCTTCTATTTACTTTAATATCCATGGATTTATAGTTAGTATTAAAAATTTAATGTTGGACTTCTACATTTCATATTTACTTTGGTAGATTATGAATGACGATGGCACTGTGCATGTTTGTGTACGTATTCAGTATGTCCTTAATAATGACTATTAGGTAAAATTTAATTTTTTTAAATCATGCATTATGATGTGAATTTTTCATCTAGAAATATTGAAAGAAACTAAAGGGAATAATTATTTATGTCTTGTCAAACACTTGGCATTGCTAATGTATTTTCATCCTGGCTTTACACTGATGTATTTTTAATTCATAGTTTGATTTCTTTTATTAACATTTATTATTATAATGACAAGTTTTTAAAGTACATGTAGTTAATAAAAGTTATAGTTCTTGACTGAGGCCCGTCGGGACCTCGGCCTACGGCCCCTACCTCCACCCCTGCCAGTTCTCCTTGTTAAATTGGCATACTATTACAGAATATAAATATAATATTAAGTACATCATAGTAAAGACTTACTATTTGTCTGTTCATATCCCTGAGCTGGGCATTAATGTGCTGCCTTTGCTGTTGCAGCAAAGGCAGTTCTGGGGCAGGAGGGGCTCCTCGTGGAGGGAGCACAGGTGCCACTCCATGAGGAAGCACCGGCAGGCATCCATCTACTGGAGGCGGCGGGCCTCCAGCTCTTGGGAGTGCTGGAGGTGGTGGTGGAGGCCCTTCATCTCCAGCCAATGGAGGTGGCAGACCTCCAGCTGCTGGTAGAGCTAGTGGCGGTAGCGGGCCTCCAGGAGGTGGTGGTGAAGGCCCTCCATCTCTAGCTACTGGAGGTGGCCGACTTCCAGCTGCTGGTAGAGCTGGTGGTGGTAGCGGGCCTCCAGGAGGTGGTGGTGGAGGCCCTCTATCTCCATCTACTGAAGGTGGCGGACCTCCATCTACTAATGGTAGAGGTGGTGGTGGCGGGCCTCTGGGAGGTGGTGGTGGTGGTGGTGGTGGAGGCTCTCCAGCTAATGGTGGTCCACCATGATACTCATCATAATCCATATACTACCAAACAATGTGAAATTATAATGATAGCTAATGTAATTTTGTGAATGAACTAACTTGCTGCTTTTGAGAAAAAAGATTGTAAAACTGCGGGAAAGTTAGCGGGAGCTGTGAGTGTGAGTGGAGAAATGGCAACTGAAGCTGCATGTAAACTTAAATAGTTTTAGAACAGGAAATAGATTTTAGTAATGTTCAATAATGATTAATATTATTATGAGCTATTATAGGCTATGAATATAATTAATGATTCAAAAATTAAAGGAAATAATTGTATGATGACTGTTTTTATAATGCGGTAGGTCTTCTTATAGTTCTTATTTCAAAATTCTTTTCTTCCAGCAATGAACTGATACCTAAGTCAAAAATTATAATTATTAATAAAAAGGATTATTATTATTAATTAATAATGATGAATAATTATAAGCGAGGCTATGAATATACTTAATGATTCAATAATTCATAAAAATTTATAATGTCATAAATTATTTAAAATTTTTATCAACAATAAAAAAAAATACTGACACGGAGTAGGTCCGTTTGTGAGCTGGTCTCGAAGACCCAGAAGATGACTACAGAGAGTAGCTCTCCAGTGGAAAAGAAGGGACGCAGCAGGCCAAGAAAGATCCCAAAGTGAGATGGTATTTCTTTCTCCCAGGTGGAGAGCATTTTCGATTCTGTTGAGAGTAAGATATTTGCGACTGTAAAAGATGTCGTTACTGCTGCGCTGTGTCTCCCTTAAAAGATCTTGTTCAGGATCAACTTGCATCGTTCCAGAAGTGTCTTTCTGACTTGGAGAGTGAGTTTAAAGCTCAGATTGATGAGCTACAAGAGTCAGTGGCGCTTCTTCGAGAACAAGCTGAGCGGCAGCATCCCGGGTCTCTTCCAGCTGCACTTGTACCAGAAGGTGGCCACGATCTATCTGATCCTGTCAGTAGTAATTCACAGTAGCTCCAATATATCAACCCTTCAATAGTTTTAAGTCCAGTGCTACTGCTGAGCGTACGTTTAATATTTTAGCCTTTGGTGTTGCTGAGCAGTCTCAAACTGCATCCCATAATACTAGGATGAGCTCTGACTTTAATGAGATTATATCAATATTAAATAGTTTAGAAGAGTCTCACCATGGTTGTCTCATTCGTGATTGTTACCATATTGGTAAATTTAATCCAAATTCAGTGTGTCCAAGACCAATTCTAGTTACCCTGGGTTCTACTACTGATGTACCTTATGTTATTTCTGAGAGTCATCTTCTCCCATCTTCAGTTTATATCAGACGTGACCTCTCTCCTATTCAGCATAAAGAGCGTGCTCTACTTAGTCAGGAGCATAAGAGGCTGATAGATAACAATACTGATTACAAATCAATCAAAATAAGGAATTCCTCTATATTTGTGACCCGATATGAGAAAACCAGGCTATCTGCGGGAATTATCATTTTGAGCTATGGGCTCATAATCACGAAAAATCTTTACCTGGGCAAAATTCATTTTATCATATAAACATGTTATATAAACAAAATCCTTTCATTTGTACAAAAATCAGGGGTAGCAAAGCCTTCTTTGCCGAGTTGTAAGCCCTTCGACATTTTACCTTGATTGTGCACAGAGAATGTTACACGGAGCGACCACGGAATAAAAACGGAGGGCTTTAATGCGTCATTAAGTAACCATGGAGTCTCTATAGCAACTATTTAAAGTATAACAAAGACGAAGAAGACTACTTATAAAAACTATGGCTACAGAAAGAGACATTGCTTGCTTGTTAAATGAAGAAATAGGTCCTCGAGACAGTGACTACGTTGCTTCAGTTCTTGGGGACTACTTTTGTGATGAAACTAGTGGTAAGCCTATTCATAACACTGTTTACATACTAACTGTGAATAGCGGTTAGCTATCACAACAATGACATTCCATCACCTGTATAAATGCACAATATTATTATATTAAACTTAGTTATACAGTGTATTTGTTAATTGATAGAGACAGACTATG